GATTGCAATTGCGGATCTTGACCTGGCAGGACCTTATGACCACAGTGTACCAATCTTCTGATGGCTACTTCCGACAGGATAATGCGCCATGTTATAAAGTGAATCATCTCAGACTCATTTCTTGAAACTTTTCCACTTAAGTTATTGTGAATTGAGCATATTGAAAGACAACATTTTATTTTTTATCTTAAATGCAATTTTTTTTTTTTATAATTACTGCTCTAAATGTATTGCTCTGTCAGCTAAAGATCTGTTTTGGTCTCTATACTTTAATTAAATAAATCAATTCAAGCTAAAATGTAAGAGGCTATACTGAGCCTGATCTCTTTGTATTAGAGACTGACATTTTTTCGGGAATCCCACGGGTCATGGGATTCCCGTGGGATTCCCGTGGGATGGGAGTCAGTATTAGTAACGATCACGGGATTGGGACGGTACAGGATTAAACATTAACGGGAGCAGACGGGAGCGGGAGCTTCACCTGCGCTAAAAACAACAAGAATGGGAGTGGTGCAGGAGCGGGAGTCATTCTGAATGGGAGCGGGATGGGAGTGGGAGTAATTTCACCAGGAGTGGGACGGGACAGGATTTAGATTTCTACTCTGGCCCGGGATCAGGACGGGACACCATTTTTTTCTGTGGGAGTGGGACAGGACAGGAGTGAAAATCCACTCCCGTGTCAGTCTCTACTTTGTATCAGAGATTTTCTTACCTTTTAGAAAAATGTCACTTGGAGTAAAACCCCCCCTGCAACCCTGATTTGCATTTGTATAGCTCACAGCATGTTCATTTACATGTTAAAGCCTCCCCTAGAATTTCATGGGGGGGAGGCATGGGGGGAACACTGCCTTAGAAAGTCCACGTCAATTTCTGACAATTTACGGGAGTTTTCGGCGAAGCCTGCAAATTGTCGTAAACTGCCGCTAATCTGAAGTTCCACGACAATCTACAGTGCCGCATATTGACGAAAATCCCACTTTTCATGCAGTGAAAATAAGTTTTCTCAAGAAGTGCAGTATTTCTTTGCCGTCTTGTAGACGTGTTACCCACCCAGCCTGTTCTCTAGGGAACAGGTATTTTTACATGCAAATATATTTATTTGATTTTAATGAAATCAGATGTGCTTGTTAAAGTGGTTTAGTACAGCTTTATCCAGTCAGTTTTCAAAAGCCAGTATCCTGAATGTTTTAGTTCCCTGGTTCAACATAACAGGATGGGTGGAACTTAATGACCTGCTAAAGAGCTAAGTCAGCCGCGGGAATCAGCTGTTTTTTAGCATGGACGCATCGACAAAAAGACATGACAGTGGCCCTTAAGGGATTAAGATTCGACACCCTATAGTCAATTGTCCTTTCACTCCAGTCTTCTACAATTTAGAAGCTGTGGTAAGATTTGTAAATTGATATTTACAGATCCGCTTTATTCCATGTTTTACCTATTTTGTACGTCTGTAAATCTGGAAACCTGGTAGTGGCATACTAAAAAATACTTCCAGCTATATTTGAAACAAAAATTGCTTCTACATAGAATCGAATATAAACATAATGTATGTTTACTTTTTTTTTTTAGATCTATAGAATACTTTCAAACCACCTCATAATTATGTGATACGTTTTTATAGTCATGGGAAAATACAAAATACAGGGTGTTTGCAAAAAGTGTGGAAAGTTCAAGATATACTTTGGAAACAAATGTTTCCTTTACTTTGAAATATTGTACACAACAGTAATCTTAAAAAAAAGCATATTGTCAACAGTTAAAAGGATGATATGCGTCAAAACGCACCGGAACACTATACATCTAATTAAGGATATAATCCCGACAGGAATTCCAGCAATGTGTTTTACGAAGCATTCACATAGCCGCTCAGTGGTTCTCTAGGTGTCCCAGCAGCAGATCAGAGCTGAGAAACTCTGAACCCAGACTGATGTCAGGTTGGAAACCTGTTCTTACTTGACTCTCTCTCTTTTCCTTCCCCTCCAGCCTTTCCTTCCAGCAGCTGCATTCCTCTCTCCGCGTTTACACCTAATGACCGCTATCTCTTTCCATTCTTGCCCTCCATCATTTCCTCGCCAGTGTGTTAATCACTCCAGCACATGGGCCCCGGGGCCCAGTGGTTAAAATAAACCCCGCCTGACACTTCCAACTGGCAGATTAACACGACGGCATTAACAGGTGCCAGAGAGCTGTTCTTTATTGGTCGTATAGGCTGTGTGCTCAGTGGAGCGACCTGTACAACTGGATGCAGCGCTGCAGGTGGCAGGGCTTCAAAATGCAGAACAGGATTGGAAACCGTTTAATCTTTTGTCATTGTGGAGCAAAAGAGTCCACATCTGAGCTGTGTAAATGAATATTCATCACATGTGTTTATGAAACCATCTCTGCGCTTTAACTTAAGACAATCTCAGTCCCTACTTCTGTTCATAATATATGGAACACATACAAATCGTGATTAATCGATTATTGAAATAATCATCGACTAAAATAGTAAGCGATAAATCGTTAGCTGGAGTATAGAGACTCTCAAACATGCTTTTAGGTGATAGAGCAGTAATGATACCAAAATTATAAAAAAAAATATATATATATATATTAGGGATGCACGATATAATCGGCCCCCTATCGGAATCGGCCTGTATCGGCCTTAAAACTGAATATTGGACATCGGCCACCCCACCGATATTTAACCCGATATTTGATCAGCTTCTGAGTTTCTAAAGTCTAAAAAAAAAATAAAAAATATTACTTCTTCTTTTTCCTCAAAACTTCTTTTTTACAGACTTAAAAACTTCTAAAGATGCATTAAAATATCACAATATCTTCATATGCTGATATATTGCCATTTAAAAACACCATATCAATCTCTTTTACTAATGAAATATTGCTATATGTCATTGTTATGCTACAAAATCCCCCAAAAATTCACGAAATGTTGCCATATTTCTATATGTTGATATCGATCTATTTTACTAACAAAATCTCACAAGAATTTGCAAAATATCACGAGAGTTTGTAACAGAACGATGAAATTTAACGAGATTTTGAAAGTAAAATAGATCGATACCGCGTTTCTAAAAATCAATTTGATATCAGCATATGAAAATATATTTGAGTATATTATTTTTCAAAGTGTCAGAAATGGATAACAAAACTGCTATTTTCAATGACTACTTATTTTTGTCCAGCTTTAACATCGGTATCGATATAGGTTATCGGCTACATGAGTTTTTAAAATATCGGCATATCGGATATCGGCCAAAATCCCAATATCGTGCATCCCTAATATATATATATATATATATAAAGATTTTGCATTTAAGATAAAAAAAAAATTGAAAAGTTTTACTTTTACTTGCCTTAATGTTGTAAAAATTTGCCTTCAAGGAATCTTTTACTATTAATAAGTGATTCATCAAAAAAATAACAATAATTCAATCCAGGTTACTGAGAAGAAAATCCCCTAGAAAAACAATACCTGCTCCTGTATAATAACAGGTTTGTCCAAATGAATGACCATAAAAAAAGGTTTCCTTAACAAGATATTGCATTAGAAACATCTCATGATGGATACAAGCAGGGAAGTCTCTGAAAACATTCATAACATACTTGGTGCAAAACAAACTGAGGAGAATAGTGTTGGGCTTATTCTAAAGGTCATCTTGAGCACTATCATGTCATAATTGAATCAACCAGAGGCTACATAAGATAAAAATGACAAAGAGTCAAGAAAACAACATTAGAGTTTTGAGCCACAGACCACTTATAGAGATTTTTAGAGAGACCCAACCTATTCTCATTATGAGTGCGTATGAAATCGTACGAAAAGTTATGCACCGTAATTTCGTACGTTTTGGAAGTTTTTTTCGTCGTATGCGCATGCGCATCTGACGCACCATTTACGAATCTTGAATATAAATTACAATTAGCCCTAACCCTGACCGTAACCCTAACCCTAAGATATAAAACAGCAAGCAACGTACTTAGAGACATGAAGAAGTAATTATTGCACTGTTTTTCCCAGTTTTACGTTCGTCCTCGAATCCGCTTTTTTTTTCTGTCTGCCAGCGCATGCGCACTGATGTGGATTTTTGAGGAAAAACGTCTAAAACGTACGAAATAGTGTGCATAACTTTTCGTACGATTTCATACGCACTGATAATGAGAATATGTTGCCAAGACCATATCATCAGTCCCTGTTGTTCTTAAGAAAATAGCTGAAGAACAATGCACTAAAGAAGTAATGTACTGAACCCCATTAGCTGCGATGTACTCACTGCACACGACTTCACTGATGAAGAAAATGCATGATGATTTAAAGTTTGTTGCAGAATATTTAAACAAGTCAATGTAATACTGGAATGAATACATTATATTTAGATTTCACACATAAATGAACTATTTGTCACTGCAAACATTATCATTTGAAAAGTAGTGGCACTGCACATCACCCTAGAAATGCTACACCAAAAGTAAAGCTTTGAGGAATCAGCATCATGTTGTCAGGTAGCTTCTCTGCATAAGGTACTGGAAGACTGAAAATAATAAGGCAACCGCTTTGTGCATTCACTTAATCATATTTAGTTACTTTAAGACAATTGTTTTATGTCCTACCCTGCTAACATGAAACAATTGTGTTAAAGTAACTACATATGATTAAGTAAATGCCAAAAGCAGTTGCATTATGAAGAGAAATGTACAGAGACAATCTTGATAAGAATACAAAAATTAAAAGGAAGGGTCCCAAATACAGGGCCAAGTAAACTCATGATAGTTTTCAGACTGAGAAAGGAAAAGTGCTAGAATGACCAGAAAACCAGTCTGAATTCAGCTGAAAATAGATCAAAATACCATTTCTGCGGACACTATAAGTCACACAGAGCCACTATACTGTTGGCCAGGAGAGGACATGTTAAAAAAGATCATGTAGGCTATATGTTTTAGTCTGTGAAAAAGACTAACAGAAAGAAAATATAACAAAAAACATAATTAAATAAACTTACAGGACTCTCAGATGCCTCAGTCCTGCAAAATCCCCTTTGGCGATTTTTGTGAGATTGTTTGCGTTCAGATCCCTAGACATTTAAAAAAAGGAAGAAACAAAGTGTTAAAATACATGAACTCAAACAGACTTAGTTTATGTTGGTTTGTCTGTTCTTTATTCAATCTTAATTATCATTTGAACTTAAACTAGACAATAAAAAATAAATGGAGAAGGTTCTGGTGCAGTGAAACTGTTCAAACAAGTTCCATCACTGGGACTCCGCTGGTAAAACGAGGCCTGTTTGAGTCAAAGCCCACTTGTCCAAATCCGTTTTTGATTAACTCGCTGGTTTCCACACAAACCGACGTGGTTGACAGAGGCTCTGTTAGTGCAACAGTGCGAAACCACCAGCAAGACCACAGCGGCACCCCCCAACACTCAACACTGGAAGAAATTATTCTGAATGGCTTAATAAAATATATATATGTATTTATCAGCTTGGAAATCTTGTGCGTTTTACTGTATTTGACAGGAATTATATAAAGCCCTGTTATTTAGATGTTTTGGAAACATTTGCTTAATTTTCTATCCTTTGGGATAATGAAATTATTTAGCATCCTTTTGGTTTGCTTACTATAAATTGATTTAATATAGTTAAAAAAAGAATAATAACCTGTAAACAAACTGTAAGAAATCATATTAATTAGATTAGATCCTTTCTATATAATAAATAGTGTGATTATAATTTTGCTTTTAAGCATTTAATCATAATAAGGGAGCTGGTTTCCCTAAACTTACAGTCTCTCTGTGTTCCTGGGGATGTTCCTGGGGACGCTGCGCAGTCCCTGGCCGTGACAGTCCACTGTGGTCCCAGTGCAGGAGCATGGAGGGGGGCACGGCTGACCGTCCGCTTTGCTCAACAGGACCAGGAGCAGAGCGGTCCCCAGCAGCAGTAGCCTCGGTTCAGTCTCCCAGGAACGGACAAGGCCAACAGAGCGCACTAATCCCACCATGTCTGCGGCGCAATGATCGGCCGATACGAGACCCGTGAAATACAAAGAGAAGCTTCGGAGTTCCCGAAGCAGGTTACCAAACTCCGCAAGCAACGGGATGCCCTCTGTTTCTTTTATGTTTGTTCGTGTCCTTCCTGTTTATGTTAGTTTTGCTAAGAGAAGAAAAACGAGGTTCAGTTTTAACATCTGGGTCCTCTAAGAGCGTCTGAAGTAATAGTTTGATTCCGATAGAGATGAACCGGCTCTGTGGCTGCGCTACAGCGGCGCAAACTTCCACATGTCCCCGGCATGCGGTGCCCAGAATCCTCCTGGGTTAGTGCGTCTTTACCGGGGAAATCGGCTGCTCCTTGATCTGATCCAGGTGCTTTCCTTGAGCGCGTTAACGCAAACTCCAGGTATATTTGGATATTAATTCACAGCACGCCTCCTGCGCAGCAGCTGCGCCAGGTTCTTCTTCAAAACTCTGCAGTGGTGAAGATATTCTGGTTCCGACTGAATGGAATATCGATTAGAAGTAGAAAGAGTAGCAAAAACACGGCGAGAGACCAGAGCGCAATACTATATTCAAACTCTGTGTGGTGCGTCAAAGCGCTGCTCTTTGTAGTGTGAGAGGAGAAAGGCAAGCAGACCGGAGAGGGCACGTCTACTGCGTCTGTCGCATCTCTCCCTCTCTCTCCCCCTCTCTCTCTCTTTTCCTCGCGCGCTGCCTGGCTCCCATACACACAAACACGCGCGCGCACTCTCTGCGTATTCCTTCAAGGTGGAGGTTTCAATCTGGCTGTCGGTCAAACAGCAACAGTTTGATCTCGGAAGAGGACTTATTCCCACTGCAGATTCCAGTCACCTGCAACATGTCATTCAGAAGGAAATAAATATACTTTACAAAATGTGGATTTTGCACCCTACTATTAAAGGATGGACAGGACAGTGTGTGTGTGAACAAAAACATATTTTTTGTGACCAAGGTTTGCTCTTCAAATACTTGTTGACTGTAGCTCAAATACTCGTTGATACAGAAAATAAGTAAGTGCATACAATCAGTGTAGTAGCCTATCTACACTAATCACAATCTAAGTCTACACTAATCAAGCTGCCCCAACAGGAAAATGAATGAGCTCAAAGTCTATATTTTCCAAAAAACCATCATTGTAGACAGATTAGATTTCCCTAAAGCCCTTGCTAATTAAAAATATGCAAATATTTACACACCCATGCATAATTTAATTGTAATCCATCTAAATTTGACGTATATTGGACAAATTCTTTAGGCTTTGAGTTTCAGGGATTCATCTCATCTATTGGGTGTTCGACATGTCGGTCTTTGTGACATGCTCACCTAACCCCAATGTGTGTGCTCTTGTTTATTCATGCGCACTTCTAGTGTTTATGTATCCAGTTGGCCTCGGTTTTTAGTTCAACTGGTCTCAAAATATTAGAAGAAGCAAATGGTTACACAGGTTTCTGAGAGGAATTGGAAGGACTCAAAAGAAATAAATAGGATCAGAGTGTAATCGGGATATTCTTTCACGCAATGGTGGAAAAGCAGCAGGTAGGATGGTCTTGCTCATGCATAGTTATTTAAAAAGGGGCAAAATGCGCACAGTCTTTGCACGTATGATAAACCTGAAGATGGTGCCTTGAAGAGAGTGGGTTGAACTGAAAAGAATCTGGCACACTGAAGTCCATGAAAGCCTCCCCAAACCTTTGGTGTCAAGGAGGACAAATTCTCCACCTAAAAATATCTCTCTATGTCCACTTATATCTGTATTATGAGTGGCATGCTTAATGTGAGGGATTGTATTTGAGTCAATGAGTCAATGCAATCAACTGGTTTTCCTTATATAGAAAACTTTGTGTTGGGATCCCCAGGCTTGCCCACCAGAGGGCGCCGAGGATCCTCTTCTGCTCTTTGTATTTTTTCCCTTAGGACTGAAGTTACTGTTGGGTCCTGGAGATTACCCTCTGTCTCCAGCAGAGTGTGCCGTGGGTCTCCTAGGGCTGGAGTCTTCCTGCACACCTGTTGCTAATCCACCCATCAGGAGATCTCCCCTTTATAAGCTCCTGCCAGGCCTTGCTTCCACGCCGCAGTGTTGATCTTAGTTGGAAACCTTTCTCTGGTCTGAAGCTCAGGAAGAGCTGCCTCACTGGAAACCAGTCTCTGGTCTGAAGCTCAGGAAGAGCTGCCTCACTGGAAACCAGTCTCTGGTCTGAAGCTCAGGAAGAGCTGCCTCACTGGAAACCAGTCTCTGGTCTGAAGCTCAGGAAGAGCTGCCTCACTGGAAACCAGTCTCTGGTCTGAAGCTCAGGAAGAGCTGCCTCACTGGAAACCAGTCTCTGGTCTGAAGCTCAGGAAGAGCTGCCTCACAGGAAACCAGTCTCTGGTCTGAAGCTCAGGAAGAGCTGCCTCACAGGAAACCAGTCTCTGGTCTGAAGCTCAGGAAGAGCTGCCTCACAGGAAACCAGTCTCTGGTCTGAAGCTCAGGAAGAGCTGCCTCACAGGAAACCAGTCTCAAGCCTGAAGCTCTAGGAGAGCTAACCTGCTAATCTGCCCTGGTGAGCCAACCTGAAGGTTCCTATGTGGAATCACCCTGAAGAATCCTAAGTGGATGTTCCCTGTTGTTCTCTGCAATAAGCTGGAAGCTCACCCTGAAGAATCCTATGTGGATATTCCCTGTTGTTCTCTGCAATGAGCTGGAAGCTCACCCTGAGCAATCCTATGTGGATATTCCCTGTTGTTCTCTGCAGTGAGCTGGAAGCTCAGATGAAGGTCTGCCATGCTAAGCCTGAAGCTAGATGCTTAGCTTCTTATAAACTCTGCTAACCAACAGTCTCCAGTCCCAGTCAAGACTCTAGTGAACCAGCCCTGAACTTGTTCCAGATTAAGTTCTTTAACGTGTGTTTTGTGAACCATAATAAACTCTGTTGAACTTTTACCCCGTTTTCCGTGTGTGTTCTGCATTTTGGGCTTAACTCTAGAACCCATCATGACACTTTGTATCAATGTGACTGTATGATCTGGTTGAACTGTAAAGTGCCTTGAGATGACATGTGTTGTGAATTTGGCGCTATATAAATAAACTGAATTGAATTGAAATTGAATTATTATGTGTCCAATCATATCCTCTATATGTCCACCCTAACCCTCTATATGTCAATATCTCTGTGTCCACCCAAAAACCACACCTTACCCTAACCTAACCTTTTTTAAACTGGTTTTATTTTCTCCTACACTGTTTAGATTCTGAGCACTGCAGCACTTTATAATGGTAATGTTCATTTTACTGTTGGACAATGAAAGCAACAAAATGTTGTTTTATATACACCAGTGTTAATGTCATCAGCTTTTTTAAATTTAGTGTTAGTCTTATTCACAATGACAAAAAAATAAATTTTAGTCTTAGTCATGTTTAGTCATTGCCTTCCCAATTTAGTCTTTAGTCTTAGACTAAAATCTATTTTAGTCTTGGTCAAATTTTTGTCATTTTAGTCAATACTGTAAATAATAGAACTTCTCCACACACTGCTTCTCTTTTTCTATATTTTATTTATATAACACTATGCAGAATAGAACTTCACACACTGATTCTCATTTTAACATATATCACACAGTACACATTGAACCTTTTGTTGGCTTGTTTCATCATATCCACAAGGTCTTTATCCTCAATGGTGCTTGCAGGCAGGCCAAAGCGCCCAATCCACTTTGCCATTGAGTTCTCTAGGGCTTTCTGCTCTTTGACGTCAGGTTTGTGGGGGTGCTCCCAACATCTCTGCAACAGACTTCCCTTCCTTCTCCAACCTCTTATTTGGCTGTGGTGTCACTGTGTCAGGAATGTAGTTGGGAGGAAGAAATTTAAAGTAACATCCCGTGTATCAGTAGAACGTCTTTCTTCAGTGACAGAGAGACGGACAGATACAAGCACAGGAAGGCACAGACACACACACACATCCACATGCATGCATGCCAGGGCACCCCCCCCCCCCCCCCCGTTCCTACTACTACAGGCCTACCCGTTCCTTACCTTCTTCCATATGGCAGCCTGTTGGCACCTCAGATGTCACTCGATATTCGCTGTGTTCTTTCCTGCCATTTTGAAGCCTCAGAGTCTTTGGTGGCATCCTTCCTCCGGTGTTGTCCTTCACATTGTAAACAAAATGGCTCCATGCATCCAGGCGTTGTTTTCGCCCAGCTCCTCCAACAAACACACCAGTATCCGAGCCCCACGCAATGACTGCGAAGTTGAGCTAGGCGTATAAGCCCTCTGCTACTACTGACTAAGTGGAGCGAGGCAATGTGGGACAGGCGCCATGTAGGGACAAACAGGGCAGCAACGCATATTCTTCTATGAAGTTTTGGAAACACTTATATTAACAATTACAAATTACAAATTTATTATAAACAATTACATTTTTTAATGTCCATTCATCCATGGCTCGTAAATTTTGTCTGGTCTTAGTCTTGTTGACAACAATCATTTTTTATTTTTTTTATATTTCTATTTTTTGGAAACAATATTTGTGCGTCATCGTCTCGTCATCGTCACGGGAAAAAGTGGCGTTGACGAAATGTTTTCGTCATTGTCCTGGTTAGCGAAATTAACACTCGTATACATTCTGTGTATGCAAAATGATAATAAAGTTTGTCTAAGTCTCTATACTGTAGCATAAATACCAGCTTCCACCTGCCCACTCACCATTCTTTAATAAGACTAGGCTAAGATGCAGAGTGGCAAATTTAAACTGGAATAGCCTAGAACGTCAATGCAACAGGTTGGTACCTGACATCTGCATTTATGATTGATGCTACTGGGATCAACAGTTGAACACTCCTACTTTGACTGTTGGTAGGAGTAAATTATTATGGTCAGAAGTATGGAAATCAGCAGGGGCAATGATTGCCCCTTCTGATGCTGTCATAAAGGGGACAGATGGACCCAGTTTTTAAGGCGAGTCAGAAAATGGAAATTTTCAAAACATTTAATGACAGGACTGATAACCCAGAACAGAACAGATATGCAGGCTGCTGAGGACAAGCGGACCGCAGTAGCTGCAGGAGGGGGGCAGGGTACCGCCCAATCACTGATACTCTGGAGGGAGAAACACAGCTAAGTGACCATGATCATCTGACCGGAGATATGTCAATGTCAATGTCAAATTTATTTATATAGCACTTTAAAAACAGGTATAAACTGCACCAAAGTGCTGTACAGGACAAACAATAGTACTAATTAATAAAAACAGATTATCAAGACACTTCAAGTAAATGCCAAAGAATAAAAATGAGTTTTAAGAAGCGATTTAAAATGATCCAGGCTGTGGAGATAGTTATCAGAGTAAGTCACTTACCTGGTTTAACAGTTCAGTCCATCCTCTCTGAAGAAGGCAAGATCCAGCCGATGGACTGCCAAACGAGATGCAGCTCTAAGCCGTCCAAACTGTCTCGGATGTAGCAACCACAGTGAGCAGGCAGGAGGTCGATCCAGGTTAGAAAACAGTTCAGATCTGGACAGGTCCGAGATCCAGGAGACCATAGCCTGACCAGAGGTTCCGATGCAAACAGGAACAAACAGATCCAGGGTTCCAGGAATCATCAGAGAGTAAAGACAGGTTCAGAGATCTATGAGTCCAGCAGTACAGTATGCTGC